AAAAAAAAAAATAAAGTAATGTCTTAAAAGTGTGGTAGCATAAAACCTGGTATGTGGTAAAGCTCAAATGTTACGAGTACTTTCTGACATTGCAATGCTACCTGCTTGCTATCAGTTTGGTAACACATTTAGTTATTGGACTTACTAGATAAAAATCTTTTCACTGTTTAGTTACCAATATTTAGTAAATTTAGGAGGTAATCTAGACAATGTCATAGTACTGAAAAGAACTTTTTAGAAATAATTCAGACTCTTTTGTCTCTTAAAATAGTGTAGTAGTTTGTCAAGTTGTTTTAAGAGCAGTATTGTGTTTCTCATTAGAATATATAGGCCTTTTTCTTTTACTTTTGTAGCTGAAGAAGAAAAAGTCAAAGACCATTTATTGCTGGGAGAGTACAGAAGAACAGTATTCTTCAGACCATGGGGTCATGACCAATTTAAGTAGGCTATGAAAACAATTTGGTGCATTCCAAGCAGCATTTTTTCTTTTTCAAGTAGAATCTGATAGAAAAGATCAAAGTGCATCCCACTTAGGGTCAATATTGTATTGAAAAACTAATGTTTTAGGTATTTGTGTGCATGTTAGGACAAAACGTACAATCTATTTCTTAATCTAAACTGTAGTCTAAAAATTTAAAAGTTCTTACTCTAGAGCTGCAGACTACAGGCAGGTTTGTTGCATCCACCTCCCAATGCCCGCCTCCCATCCCCACCCCCCCATATTAGAGAATGAACTCAGGGCCTGGAACATACTAAACAAGTGTTTTACAAACACTGAGATACATCTCCAGCCCTTTTATTTTTTATTTTGAAACAGGATCTCACTAAGTTCCCCAGGCTGACCTTGAACTTGCAATCCTCCTACCTCAGCCTCCCGAGTTGTAGGATTACAGGCATGCACCACAGCACCCAGCTTTGTAGGCAGTATTTTTTTTTTTCCATTTTCTTTTGTTTGTTTTTGTGGTGCTATAGATTGAACCCCAGGTCTTGTGCATATTAGGCAAAGTGCTCTGTCACTAAGCTATATCAGTAGCCTCTACAGGCAGTTATAATTTACCAGGCTCAATTAATTGTTTATGTAAGATAATGTTGAACAAATACTATATATAAAAAGCATTCTTAAAATGCTTTTAAGGATTTAGACATTTTAAGGATGAGAAAATATCTAAATCAAAGTTAAATTTTCTCTCACATCTCATTTTGTACCCTATGTTTGGTAGTCATTGCATTAAGAGTTATTTTCATTCAGTCACCTTATTTTATAAGTGAAGAAATAGAAAAGTAAGTACAGTGACTTGATAACATAACAGTGGATTAAATTTGAAGAATAAAATCCTTACTCTGGGATTTAAAGACTAGATAAAGTAAAGAAAGGTGTTGAATATCCTTTACTAAAGATACCTTTAAGAATGAAAACGATGATGGGGCTAGGGTTGTGGCTCAGTGGTAGAGTACTTGCCTAGCACGTTAAGGCCCTAGATTCAATCCTCAGCACCACATAAAAATAAATAAATAAAATAAAGGTATTGTGTTCAAATACATCTAAAAGGAAATAAATAAAAAAGAATGAAAATGATGTCTATTATTAATGAAGATAACAGATAATAGATATTAATGATAGACTTTTAAAATCCCATATTTCTCACACTGTTCAGGGATTATATGTTTGTTTTCCATTTGAAAACTAGAGCTTCTAGAGATTTTTCAAAATGCATGAGAAGGAGGAGAAAGTCAGAGCCTAATAACTTTTTGGGGGTGGTGAGAGGACTGGGGATTGAACACTGGCACTTGACCACTGAGCCCATCATCAGCCTTATTTTGTATTTTATTTAGAGACAGTGTCTCACTGAGATCCTTAGTGCCTCACTTTTGCTGAGGCTGGCTTTCAACTTGCAGTCCACCTCCCTCTGCTTCCCAAGCTGGTGGGATTGCAGGCATGGGCCATTGCACCAGGCTAGAGCCTAATAATTTTATGAATTAATGATTTTAATATGGGATAAAGTAATATTATGTTGAAGCATAGCATTCTGTATTGAGCCTTACTCTGTAGAAATGTAATGAAATCTGTGAACATACTTATAGGCACAAATATTTTATGTTAACTTTTTTCCACTTTGCTAAAATGGCTAAAGGAAACATTTATCAGAAGCTAAAAGCTTTTGCCTTTACCACAAAGGTGGATTTTGTATATTATCCTCTATTAGTGTTCCCTGAACTTGAAGCAGGGATGATGTTACTACGTTTATGTAGAGAATAGACAGAGATAGACATTCAGATGTCATCACTTTCCTTAATTAACCCATGAACATATAATGTAGGAGAGAATTTGGTTCTTTTTTAGCTTTTTTAATATGGAAAATATTATATATATATTAATATAAATTTAATATTTTAATATTAAATATACATTATAATATATATGAATGTATATATCAATATACACAAAGTAAACAGACAAACCCCATGTTGCACATCAACACCGTCATCATTCTGTCATTCTCATTTGATCTGTACCTTCACTTGCTTGATTATCCCTGAACCTATCCCTGCTTGATTATTCATTTGTTTGTTTGTTTGTTTATTCTTTGGGTAACATTTTACTTTGAGGTACACAAATCTCATGTGTAAAATTTTAGTAAATAGCTGGTAGCCCACACCTGTAATTCCAGTAACTAAGTAGGCTGAGGCAGGAGGATCACAAATTTGAGGCCAGCTTCAGCAACTTAGTGAGAACCTGGCTTAAAATAAAAATATTAAAAAGGCTGGGGATATAGCTCAGTGGTAAAGTGTCCTTTGTTCAATCCCCAGTAAAAATTAACAACTAGATATAGTTATGTAATCCACACTCTATTAAGATGTATAAATTGGAACTTAAAAATCAAGTATTTGATTTAAATCTTTGGTCTGCAACTTATTGGGGCAATGAAAGACAGTCATTTTCTATTAATTTGTTAAGGGGAATTTTTTTGTATTTGTTCTGAATTTAACCCTTGGGCTATAGAGATTGGCTGCTCATTCTTGTCTAAATCAACATTAGCCCTGTCTTTAACCATCCTTATTATCTAGACTTCTCATCCTATAACTTATTTAATTTCTGTCTTCCTGGCATCCACTCTCACCCACTCATTGAGCACTATTTATTAACTGCCTCTTCTGGACCATCTTCAGTTCTACTACAGCAGTCAGTAAGACACATAGGTAAATGTGCATCACCACTAGCCATATCAATAATTCCTTCTTTGAGAAAATTTTTAATAGTAAAACATGCTTATTGATAAATAAACAATAAACAAGCATGTAAAATAGAAATTCAAAGGCTCCCTTTACATTTAGTTCTATTTTCCAGACATAACCTCTGTTAAGAATGAGTCATTTCTTTCTAGACTTTCTTTGTGCCTGTTCTAATTTATATATATTTTTCTCCCCTACAACAGGATCATTCTTCATTTAAATAATTTGCTATTTGTATAAATGTATTAAGGGGTGTGTCTTAAGTGTTATTTTACTTCTGTTTTACATTATACCCTCGAAATATTTAAAATAATTTTAAAAAGTTTTTTCTTCCAGAGGGAACAGTCAAAGCAATGTTTATTTTATATAGTTAATGTTTCTTAACACAGTGCTCACAAAGAAAATATTTTCATTTTGTTCCTGCTTTTAATTGTTTCTTTAAACTTAATTTTTAACATAGCCTACATTTATATCACAAATTAATTAGGACTGTTTTTATGTTCCAGTCATTTACTCAAAATCGTACATTGGTTTTGTCTGGGAGCTTGAGACTTGAGAGGACTGGTCTAGATCTGCGCTGTCCAACTTGATAGCCACTAGCCACATGTGCTATTGAGTGCTTGAAATGTGGCTAGTCCGAACTGAGATGTGCTGTAAGTGTAAAATACACACCAGATTCTGATGGCTCAGTATCAAAAAAAAAAAAAAAAAAAAAAGTTAAATATTTCATTAATATTTTTGTCTTGCTTACATGTTAAAATGATAATATGTTGGATGTGTTAGGTTAAATAATGTAGTTATTAGTTTCATCTGTTTCTGCATTTTAATGTGGCTAATAGGAATTTGATATTTGTGACTTGGATTCTATTTCTATTGGACAGTGCTGGTCTAGATGGCAGAATATATAAAGGGGAAAATGCTTTTATTTTGAAATGTATAAACTTTTGTGGGCTTCCTGGTCATAAACTGACAGAAAGCTGGTTTTACTTTTTATTTTGGGCAGTGATAATATCAGGGTATAAATGTAATCACAGAATGTTCTGAGAAACTATGCTGTCAGTTTTGCTGGCTAGAGATAAAAATAAGCACTTCTTTAATAGAATTTTGTACTCGATTTCAAGAATCAAACTTGCCTCTTAAGAAAAATTTATTAGCAGTACAACCCAGATTTATGTTTTGATTTATCTCTTCTCAAAGAATTTATAGTAAATACTCCATGTGCTTTGAATTTCTGAGTTTATTTCCAGCAGAATCCAAAAATTAGGCTAGAGTTGCAAATGTTCACAGGAAATGAATAGTGTAAACCTAAATTATTCATGTAAAGAACCTAGCTTTAGTAGGGCAACCATTTTAACAAAACGGTTTAATTCAGTTGGTTTTTTCTGTATGATTTTCAAGATAAATCTATAATTTTCCAAACACATTACTTAAACAAAACTAAGCTCTCAAATGAAAAAAAATTTACCTTTTTAATGAAGAACTTAATAATGATATAATAGATCATATTACACCACATTTTTATATTGTTTATTGGAAGAATTGCTAGACATTCAATGTCTAAGAAAGAAGATTCAAGAACATAAAATCTAACTTTAATTTCTAAATTTTTTTCATAGAGTTTTATTAATCAAGATAAAAGAAAAGAAACAGAAGATGAAGATAAATCAAAATCATTTATGCAGAAATATGAACAAAAAATCAGACATTTTGGTAAGTCTACTCTCTGAATTTCTTCTTTATAATATTTGGTATCATATGTATATGTGCAAAAAATGAATTTATAAAATGGGAACCAAAAAAAGAGATATGTAACAGATTCCAGTTATGTAGCTACTTCTGGAGATGTACAAATCATTTTTTGGGGTCATAAATAATATAGATTGATAGAACAAATCAAATTGTTAGGAAAAGCAAAATTCAGTCTATTAATAATACCTTCTGAAACCATCTTCTTTATTCCATGGTCTCTTTCCAATCTTGACTAGCCTCTGCTTTTTTCTTTCTTTTCTTCCTTGGTATCTGCTTATCCTTTTGTTAAAATATTAGCATTCTTTYTTATTTTTTTTAAGGTTTTATGCTGTGTAACTCAAGCAGGTTATTTAACAGTTATTCAGGTAAATGTAGTGATAGAAATATGTATGCAAAGAACTGATAGTTTTTCTATTGGGGGAAGAAGACTGGGATGAGGTCAATGTAAAGTGAAGGCTTCCCAAGAAAGGTAACATCTGAGCCTGCCTGTGAGGAACAGATAAAGAGTTTTCCATATAGCAACCATAGCTGCATGTAGAAATGCAGCCAGGCAACAGTATGTTGTATTCTATGAATTATAGACAGTATACTACTGGAATGAAAATGCTATTGGGAAGTTTTAGGAGTTAAGGTTCAATTCATATTTTTTTTTTAAATCACCAGTAATATGTTAATTTAAACAGTACAAAAGAACACTATGTTCACGAATATTTTAAATGGCATTTTGAAATCTTTTTTTTTTTCCTGTTGGCATTTCTCCCAAAGTATTTAAAATTTCATTTATGCTTCAGTAATGTCAAAACAATGGATAGTATTGTCAGTGTTTTCCCATCTGTTTATTTTTTCATGAAGAATTTATTTTTTCATACCTCTTATTTAAAACAAAGAAAAACTTAGTACATGAAGAAGTATCGACAAAGTCTGCATTTCTACATATTATTGTTGTGATGTTTTTTATATTTTTATTTTTTAGTTGTAGTTGGACATAATACCTTTATTTACTTATGTGGTGCTGAGGATCTAATCCAGGACCTCACATATGCTAGGCGAGCAATCTACTGCTGAGCCACAACCCCAGCCCCCATTGTGATATTTTTTTATAATAGAAAAAAATGAATAAGCAGTCCTCCCTTAGATAGATATTGAAATCTTTAAATGAGTAGAGCCTTATGTCTTTGTAAAAACTATTTGTCTTAGTTGTATTATGTGAGCTGCCATTCCCACCTACAGTCCCTGCTTTCTAGGTCTATGTGTTCTGCTGTAAGAAAAAATAATGCACCATCTACTGGTTGCTCTTTTAGAGCATACACCGATTCTGGTAGAACAGCATCCCTGAAGATGTTTTTACCCATCTAGTATTCTATAGGCTAGTTGCTTTGGAGCCATGGAACCTAGTAGGTGAGAAATAGTTCCTTCACTTTTATTGTAAACTGGGTGGTCTGGTCAAAAGTAATTTTATGTGGGAAAATATCCCAGTTTTCACAAGTTGTTGTAACCCACCTAGTACTATGACTGAGTCTTTAATAAATAATTTCATCATTCTATAAAACCTCCTTCTGAGTAATGATGTTCAGGATAAGACAAGTGATTTCATGAGCCTACAGTCATCATTTCTTTTGTTATAAATAAACCAAAAAATCATGTAGGATATTGAATAATTCACTTAGTAGGACCACAGATATATTACTGATAGAAACATGGTAAGCAAGAGGGCAATTCCAGATCTAGAATGGGCTTTCTCAGGTGAGAAATTACTGTCTCTTTAAGATGAAATGGGACCAAAATATGTAACCTGCTTCTTGATGACTGTATAGTTTCTCTTGCGTATGTTGCCATATTGAGGTTTTGGCATTGGTTTCTGCTACTGGCAGATTAGGTATCCATTGGCTGTGCTGAGTTGGGATACTGGAACATCCCTAATGAGGAAAGTCCATACTGTTGAATCTGCATAATCTCAAGCCTGTGCTACAATGACTCCTTAGTTTATGAAACTATTGTACGTGTAATGAGGTAGCTGAGGGTAAAAGCTAACTTGACACCTATAGGTCATTGATAAGCAAAATTGTTTTGAACATTGCATGTTGTAAACATCCACTACCTCATCTTGTAATACTAACCAGAGCATTGCTGTCTTCGAACCCAACCAGACTTGATAGCCACTCCCAGATTCACATTGTGCCTGTCTCTTAGTGGAAATACATATTGACTTTTCACTTTGGAGGAGATATCCTACTTGCTGCAGCACATTGGATCCACAGAAATGTTACTAAGGTAGTAGGCGCCCAAAATTTTCATGTGTTTTTTTTCTACTCTCTGGCATGCGTGTATCTTACCAAGACATCTGAGGTACCCAGTACTTCCTGCTCACCAAGTTCCATCAGCATAGAGTGGACCAACTTGCAGTTGAGGGATGATGAGTCAGTCAAAATCCTCACTGACTAAATTTGTGGCACAGAGATGATAGAGCCCTGAAGCAAGACAATGAATGTTTGATGCTATCCCTGCTTGGAGAAAGCACATTTTTCTAGTGTTGTATGCGTATTGTAATGAAGGAAAAAAGCATGTTTGAGAATGATGACCACACTGATACACTCCTTTAAACACACCTGGAATAGCAGCTGTATTTAAAGTTTTCAAATGGGGAGACTTTCTATACTTGGATTGCATTTCAGACTCTTGAAAGATGAGCCTGGTGCCTGGGGGACTGTTTAGGATATGGGGCTTCACACCAGTACTACTTTATGGTCTTACTCTGTACTTACATTTTTTAAGAGTTTTTCCTAACTTTCCCTTATGCTGTTTGTTGGCTGTCTTTCTTGTGTTGCTTTTACCCTTATAATTAGATGGAATTTACCATCTAATGATAAATGGTACAATGCTTATTGTGGAGTATTACGAAGTATTGAAATCTTATTTTTCTACATTTGTATTTGTTAGTTTGATTCACATTTTATAAATACAAAATACTTATTTAGATAAAAAACCTATTTTTTCTTAGATTTCACTGTACAGTTTTATTCAAAGTTATAGGTATCTTTGACATCACTGTCTTTGTGATCTATAGCGCTGCTTTTGGATTCATTTAACAATTTTTCAGAGCACGTCATCTTCCCATCCAGACAAAGTTAGCAATGATTTGTCATTTTTTTGAATCTGGACGAATTGTTATCAAAAGCTGTAAAAATATAAACTATAATAGGATAATGTATTCTTGAATAGACTATGAAATAGGACAAAGAGAAGATTATGATATGATTTTAATTTTGTTTCTCTAAAGTTCATTTTCAAATAGGCTGGGAGGAAATACACAAATATTGTTAATATCGCTTGTGGTAGACCTGCAATTGATTTCTATGTTTTGGACTTTTCATATTCTTCATAATGTGTATACTTCATTTTTATAATCTGAAAAATATTTTTAAGAGTTCATGCTAAGGGGTGGGGGCTGTGGTTCAGTGGCAGAGCACTTGCTGAGCGTGTGTGAAGCATTGGGTTTGATCTTTAGCATCACATATAAAAATAAGCAAATAAAATAAAGGCATGCTGACCATCTACAAGTACAAAAAATAAATAAATAAATAAATTTTWWAAAAAGAGTTCATCCTAAGAATTTTAGGATGGCTTAACATTAGAAATTTATTAACAGATTATGGTATTATAACCATAGAACTTGATAGTCAGTTTTAATGTCAGAGAAATGGAAATGTCAGAGGAATTTCTAGAATGTTTGAGTGAGTAATAGAATCCAGGAAGCCTGTAGGTTGACAGAAATGGAAGAATGGGTTTGATTTTCAAGTAAGATGAGTTTATGTAGTCGTATAGGTAGAAATTGTTGGTGCATAGGTGATTGGAAATACAGGAAATTTGAGGCTCTGGAAATACACACAMAAAAAAATAGTCATATATATGTCTTTCCTCAATAAATTAACAACCTAGCTGGGACATTATAGATGAACAGTGTAAAATGTTAAAATGTTTTCATTCTGTAAGTATAGTGCAAAAAGGAAAGAGAAATTAATAAGGATATGCATATTTGGGGACCATTTTAGGAAACAGGTTGAATATGGAGAGATGGATAGACTGAGATTTAGATAGGTGTTCACCAGGGAAATACATAAATTAAAGCATATGATTGAAATAAATTGTCCAAGTGAAGTTTTTCAAGCTTTCAAAGAAATTGGTTGGCTAGTTTAGATGATTGGATTATCCTTGRTCAAAGATTTAGCTTAATAAATATTTCTTATATCATGTTAGTAACCTAATACTTATTATCTATTTAATATGTGTCAGGCACTATTTCTAGTGCTTTCTATGAATTCATTTTATATAATCGTTTAAAAATCCTGTCGGGTATTATTTACTTATAGCCCTGTTCTACTAGGAAATGGAGGCATGTAAAGGAACTTGCTCAAGTTAGTAAATGGTGAAGCGGTTATATTAAAAAGCAATTTAGAATCTTTTTTTCCTAGCCATCCTGCTAGATTGTGTTATTCTTACATTTATTTACAAATTCCAAAATAACATCAATAGTTTTAGTCATGTTCTATTCCTGTATTGATTCTCTTTAAGTATTTTTTTCATAAAATTTCATACTCCCTCCACAGAGATTTGTATAAACTACCTGTAACTTCTCAATTTCCTAGTAATTCAGTATCTTTTTTTTTTTAAGTAAAGTGATGACAATATTTCTCAGTAACAGAAAATCTGTTTAATTTCAATTTCAAGTGTTAATTTTGTCTTGGGTATTACATAAGTTGTTAAAAAAAACTTTTAACATATAATGACACCCTTCCTCATGACCCTTATAAGTGCTACTAACCCCATCAGGGTTCCCTACAAGTATTTTTATTAACCCTTTCATACATTTCATAACAAAAATGTATAGGATTTTGATAATTCATGGAGTCACAATACTACCATGGAGAAGTAAAGAAGAAAAGCAATGCTTTACAGATGGTAAATAGAGTTGAAATATTAGCTTTTCAGAAGTATAAGAAGGTTAAGCCAAAACTACTTCATAGGATTAATTTTATGGTTTCAGGTATAAGAAATAAGGATTTTGCTTTCATTTACTCTGACTTCCAGGAGTCATTATTAACTCTATACTTTGAGAAATAGTTACTTAAACTTTCAGTATTCTGTTTCTTAGAATCTTAAATGACCTAATAATCATTGTCATCAAAGTATTGGGGAAATAACACAAAGCTTATAAAACGTTTATAAGAAATGTTAAAACCTTTTTTATGCCCCCCCCCTTTTTCTTTTGAGGAAAAGTTAATCATGTATTTTCATCTGATTGCTATATGTTGCTGCGTATTTTCAGCAATAGTTTTGTTTGTTATTGTGTTCTACTTTAGAATTTAATATATAGAAGTTCATTTTGTGTCTAGAGGAAAGTTTATTGCCAGAGTACTAAAACAGCCCTGTAAAATTTCCATGATGATTTGGTAACATCCATATTTCCTTGGGTGGATCTGAGGAGTGTAAAGCTGCTAACATTGTTATGTTGAAGTTATTCAAGTATAAAGCCAACTGGAAAAATTAAAAGTACAATACTTGTCTGGTTCTATGATGATTTGGTCATATTGACTTTGAGGAGATGTCTTATAAATATGCATATACTCTTAAGGTAGTATTTGTATTCATTTGACATCTTGAAAACAATGGCAGCCATTTTTAAGTACACTTAACTACTTTTTAGAAATTTTTATTTACTGTGAGTATAAACAGACATCATGAGTAAAAAGCTAAAATAATTTAAATGATTATTTTTACTAGTATGATACTGGCTTCATTGCTTTACCAGTAGATAATTTTCTTAAATTGGTAAATGTCACCATTTTAACATACCGTCTTAAAGTCTTTAAGTGTGCCAAGTGCAGTTTATTGAGGTTTTGCTTTCTTTTCCATCATTTGAATAGAAAAGATTCTGTTTTCTGAGTAAATCAGGTCTTTTACTTTAACCTTAAGATGACCACTTGTCTCGATTTGCCTGGGACTGTGGGCATTTACAGATGCAAGACTTTTTGACTTTAAACTGTCCTTTCTACATTAGCTTCATTATCTGAAAGAAAACTTTCTGTGAATTTTGGAAGCTATTTCTAGTCCAGCGGCTATTGCTCTAAGAGTGTTATCCCTTTTCATTTGCCCTTTTACCATACACACTGCTTTAGTAATATGAATTACCTTTAAAGAGAATAATTTTACATTTTCTTCACAGGAAGAAACAAAATATTTAGCATTCATGATTTCATATATATGTATATGTGTGTATATATATATATATATACATATGCACACACACATATATATGTATTTTTTTTTTTTTTTGCAGGTATGTTGAGTCGATGGGATGATAGTCAGAGGTTTTTGTCTGACCATCCATACCTTGTATGTGAAGAAACTGCTAAATATCTTATTCTATGGTGTTTTCACCTAGAAGCTGAGCAGGTATTGTGTGAATCTTAAAATTTTAGTGTGTTACTTGGTCATATTGACTTTGTGGGAAATGTTAGTGGAATTCTGATTTCTTACTTGGTGTTTTGTTTATTATGTTGTTTACTTTAAATGAAAGCAAGAAGGTCATTAGAATTCTAATTGTTTTTGTTTTCAGACCTACTTGAGTTTAATGTGGGAACTTAAAATAATTGTTTGTTAGCATATATAAACTTTTCTGGTGTGTTCTCTGCCGCCTCTCAACTGCTTTTGTTCCTATATCCTTTTTCTTTTCTAATTAGAAAGTGATGTTTTAAAAATCCAAATGGTAATCACATTTTAAGTCAGACCAATAGCATGGTCCCCTTTAATAATTCTGGTCACATAAAAATAGTAAAGAATTGAGATATACTGTTTATATGTCCACATAGTATTTGACTTATAACTAAAAAGAACAAAATCAGAAGTAACCCTAAAGATTTAAAGTTTGAATCAGTATCCCAATTAAATATGTTCTAGAGGTTTCTTATAATTTTATTTATTTTCAGAAAGGGGCTCTAATGGAACAAATAGCACATCAAGCTGTAGTAATGCAATTTATTATGGAAATGGCCAAAAACTGTAATGTGGATCCAAGAGGATGTTTTCGTTTATTTTTCCAAAAAGCCAAAGTAAGTATTTTTTGTTGTTGCTGTTTTAAGGGTGTGCCTCCCCAACACGCACCCCCCACCCCCGCCTACTCCACAGGCTGTACTAGGGATTGATTGAACTGAGGATCTTGTGCAAGTGTTCTACTACTGTGCTATTTCCCCAACCCAGTTATTTTGTATTGTTAAATGGGAAGGTTAGGTCATAGCTGAGACCCCTTTGTTCTGTACACATGAGGAGAAACCATTTAACCAGAAGGCCACAGACTAATTGAGTCTTAAAGGAGCTATTCTTATATAATCTTTTATGTATTCATACATACTTTCTTATGACTGATACTATAGCATTTATGTGAAATTGAGATCCATTCAAATGAATGTGTATATTTGGATAGTTTATCACTTATCCATTTAGTAACTATTGAGTACCTGCTAATGGAAAGCAAAACCATTTCAGAAGTGGAGGATATAGGATATTCACAGTTTAATAAGAAATCAGACTTTGTAATGGAAAAATTAAGAAAYAACCCAAAAATTCAATAGTTAGAGGAATGGTTAAAAAAAAAAAAAAGACCTGTAGTATACATAAATTTATGCAGCCATTAGGTATTTATGGAACATTTTTAATGCTCTAAGAAATGTTTATGCTGTAAGTTTAGAGGAAGTGGTACATGTTTATATAAACACAAAAATGTTGGCTATGTCACAAAAAAATAGATAATGTCTGCAAAGCTTACCATTTCACTAGATGAGTAAAAATTTGAAAGTTGCTCAAGAAGTAGAACAGTTAGGACTTGAATTCACTGCTAGTGGGAATATAAATTCTAATAACCATTTGGGAAATTTTTCTAGTAAAATTGAACAATCACATAAGTGAATACCCAAAAAYTATTTTAGGTTTATAACCTAGAGAATATGTTATCAACATGTAGTTGAGGGACCCCTGAGAGTCTTTAAAACCTTTTCAGGAGGGCCTTGATTAGTGATTAGAAGTATTTTCATGATAATATTGATGGTATTTGCTATTTTATTCTTATTCTCTCACAAGTGTACAATTGAAGTTGATCCCAAAGCAGATGTGATAATCTGTCTTCTGTTACGGTAGACCTTAGAGAGGTTTGCAGAAATTAAAAATGGCACTGAATCAGTTTTGGAGAATACAATTTTCACATGCTTTTTTTTTTTTTTTTTTTTAAGACAGGTTCTCACTTTGTTATCCAGGTAGATCTCAAACTCTTGAGATCAAGCAATTATCTTTTCTTAGTCTCTCAAGTAGCTGGGACTACCAGCATATGCCACCATGCCTAACACTGAAAAATAGTCTTTTAAAATAAAAATGTTATTAATGGTAGTATGTAATGAGTTTTTTACTATTATTTTTATTTTCCTTAATTCCTCACTTTTAATTTCCAACAGTAATATTAACAAATATAACCCACACAATTACAGGTCCTCAGTAATTTTCAATTGTTAAAGAGTCCTAAGCTCCAAAGTTTGACTTAGTGCAACTCTTATACCTATACAGTAGATGCCAAAATATGTAGTTTTGTTCATAATAACAAAAAGCCTGAGAACAACTCAAATGTCTGACAACAATAGAATGAATAAACTATGCTATATTCATTTGGTAAAATACTAACCAGTATCAGTATGGATGAAAAAGCTGGGAAGTGAATAAAATAAAATACAGAGTGATATAACCAGTATCAGTTTTTAAAGTATATTTTGATAAAGATCATATATTTAAATATTCTGTATTTTATAAAATATTTTTATAGCAGGCAGAGGTAAGCAATATGTAGTTGAGGGATATGTGTATAAGCAGTAAAATTAAAGAAGCAAAGGACCAAGTCTAATGATAACTTAGGGAGGAAAATTTCTCTTCAGAACTGGTTTATAAAGTACTAGTAGTGATCTATTAATTTTTATGGGTACAAGGTTGTATTTTTGCTGAATAAACTACACATGTGTATCTTACATGCTCTTTTGCCACAGGATATGTTTCAGCATATAAAATTAGAAGTTCAAAAGAAATATACCAAAAGGTGTTTTGTGGGGATGGGGAGAGTGCTGGGGGTGGAACTTAAGACCGACCCTGGCAAGCACTTCACCATTAAGCTACAACCCCAGTCCTCTATTTTTTAATATTAAAAAAAAACCCTACAAAGGTGGCAACAGTTCTACCTTAAAATACCCTAAAACCCTTCTGATGTAGAGTTTTGATGAGTTGGTGTTCTAGCTAGGTTTATGGTGACTTTTCTAAATTTTTATATGGCACATAGGAGCTTTTTTTTTTTTCATCTTGTATTAATGGATGTATTTAAACTGGTGATTAATATGACAATGGAACATGTCCAAAGTGTATATATTCTTTGACAATTTAACAAAGTAGAACTGAAAGGCACTGAAGTCTTCCGTCTTACATTGTATTTTTAATATGTTTTTTAATTAAGCAATAATATTCATAAGATGCTTACTTTGTGCAAGGCACTTTATATGGATTAACTTATAAATCTTTGTCATGTTTTATGAGGATTTCTGTTCTTATATTGTAGATAAGGAAACCTGTATAAAGAAATCAAGCACTGTGCACGGTGGTGCATGCCTGTAATCCCAGTGGCTTGGGAGGCTGAGATAGGAGGATCGCGAGTTCAAAGCCAGCCTCAGCAAAAGCAAGGCGCTGAACAACTCAGTGAGACCCTGTGTCTAAATAAAATACAAAATAGGGCTGGTGATATGGTTCAGTGGTCAGTTGCCCCGGGGTCCTCTATTTTATGCATTGAATCTCTTCTATCTCTTCTATCTCAACCCCCAATAACCTGCCACCAAAAAAAAAAAARAAGAAGAAATTAAGCAAGTGGCCTATATGGATTACTTAATAAAACAAAGTCAAATCACTCTAGATCTGAATCCCTAGGCCTTACGCACAGGGCTAACATTCTGTTTGTCCACATGACTCCCATATATTAATTAAAGTAAAGGTGCTAAAATGTGATTAAGGAAATTATTATGAAATTTATGAAGATGGGAAGGCAGTAGAATACTGTTTGCATTATTTGTATGCTGATGCTAATGACTAATTTATAGAGGTTTTAACCTGGTTATATAACCTAAACTTCATTTGATAAGCTCTCTTCCACCACTTGAACATAAAGCCAGCATTCTGTTGATATAGAATATGTTACATGTCATCATAAGTCATTGTATTTTTTTCTTTCCATAATGTTGGGAGAAAAAGATGTACCTGTTTAACTAAAAACACAAAGGTGTTCTCCTAATGAAGTAGAATGTTGAGTTTTATTTGGTTTTCATAGAGAATAAAGGGTCAGAAAATTATTAGAAGTAGGCAATAGTTTCCCCTCATTAATTTAAATCTTTTTAAAGAATATCCTGTGACAGTTTGGCAATGGTAAGAGAATGGAATGAATGTGAAAGGTGAAATGAGGATTTTGGGGTCCTGTTAAAGATCCAGATAAATCAAGAGAGATAAGAGAAAACCTGTTTTACTTTTGTGAGTTCCTATTAGCTTGTTTTATTTTGCTGAAGCAGTAAGAAATGGAACAAATTAGTCATTAATGTTCCTATAAAACAAGTAGATGTCACAAATCTGAAGAGGCCATAATGGTGTCTACATTTAGACTGTTCACCTTTTCTTTATTTCCTCAACCAGCTGTATTGTAAGCTTTTTAGAATTTACTCTGGTTTTGAAAAACAGTCTGTTTTTTGTGTTCTAGGCAGAGGAAGAAGGTTATTTTGAAGCATTCAAAAATGAACTTGAAGCTTTCAAGTCAAGAGTAAGACTTTATTCTCAATCACAAAGTTTTCAACCTATGACAGTTCAGAATCATGTTCCCCATTCTGGTGTTGGATCTATAGGTTTATTAGAATCCTTACCACAGGTAAGTTAGAGAAGTTAATATTTATTTTGTAAACATATTAAATCATAGTTTTTGTTATTTTGGAGTATCTTATATGTGATACACGTGTGACTGTTTTGAATATTCTTGCCTCAAAAGGTAATCCTCAGTCCTGTTTTATGCATTGAATCTCTTCTCTTTTCTTAAATGGATTAGCTTCAGAGCATGCATGAAAGTGGTAATCAAGGTAGTCTGCTACATGGGTTTATATAATACCATCTCTAGTGGTGGTGTTGCCTATCAGATGTAACACTTAGTTCACATTAATATAGCTTATAATATTGTGTCTGGTAGTATCAACAACTACTTAAATCAATCTTTAGATCAAGATAAAAACCATGTCAACAGCATCAGAGACTTTATAGCAAAAAGAAGAAGGAATCAGACCACTCATCTAGCTGATACTATGTAAAACTCAGTTCTAAATTATTGGTAGATAGTTCCTTCCCATTTGATTGTAGTGGAAGCATCTTAGTCCAATCATCTCTCATTTCCATGTGCCAGGATTTTAAAGACCAGTTTATTCTGCTGCCTGCATTGTGAAATGGAAAGTCTCATTTAGTAGACAAGATGAGGAGARTCCTAGATTTATTTTTAAACTTCATAAGGTGATAAAAGATTGAGATTTTTCAGTGTCTTGACTTTATGTCACTATAATTTCACCATTCCAGTCACATGTATTGTAGGCTTTATAAGGAAAGCAATTGATCATATTTAACTCAATTAAAATTATCATTTTCAAGGATGGAAATCATCAAGTTCTGATTTTTAAATAATTAATAGTACCCCCCCCCAACTTGTAAGAAACATTACCTCTGAAGATTTCCTATATAATATCAAATCTTAAATGGTATTTAAATACAATGGTGAATTTCACTTCCTGAGATATAGCCCATAGGGAACTAATTTTTCCAAGGGAATTTTATGACTGTCATATCCAATATATCAACCTCCTAAAATCAAAATGTTACATGATTCATGTGGACAAATAAAGAGACTTTGAAGGTGTTTGATTCAGTAAAATATCAAAAAGTTGCCTCTGGAATGGGGGAAGTAAGTTTTTGGTAAATATAACAGATAGTAACTGATAATAACTGCAAGGCATCCATTATACTTATTTGGCCGGGGGGTGGGGTGGGGCTAGACTCATGATTCTGACTTAATTGCTAACATTATCAGGGTTGCTTATACTTAATCTGGCTAACAGAGCAGTTCCTCATAGAGTGAGAATTTTAGTATCCTAACCTAATCTGCCTGAGGAAGAGGAGAGCTTTAAGATTTCAGCTAGATGCACAGTATTGTGGACTGGCTGAGGGAAACAGGATGAGGGGCCACTTGAGGGACTAAATTGTCAATTTAGAGGAAGTTGGAAAGAAAATCTTGCCACAATAATATTCCTTTTTGTATCAGTTTACAGGTTACAAAACACTTTCATGTGTTTTATTGTTTAATCTCAAAAATTCTATGGTTTATTTTCATTCATTTTTATGGATAAGTAAACTGAAACTTAGGTTAAATAATTTGCCTGAAGTCAGTTGAAGTGTGTGATAGAGCTAATACTCTAATCCTGAATTTCCTGCTTCACCACCTATTCACTTGCATTACAGACTGTTGAGTCATGTACTACAAATAGTGCAAGATAATCCTGTGCTTTTAGAAGATACTTGTCACCGAAACAAGAAAATTTTTGAGATGAGAATATGAGCCAACCAGTGTAATTTAAGCAAAGTCAGGTTAGGCATATCAATTGCTTTTTGTTTTCTCAAAGTGGGAGACATGATAGCCTCAAGACAAATGAGTTCTGGAGAATCTCCTTAGCCAACTCTCAGAATACAGGATAGAGGCAGGATTAGAACTGAAGTTCACGATGAATGTCCCAGACCTCAGTCAGTTATTGGTGTCACTTCTTTCATAAAGACCTGCTTGGGAATAATTTATCTAGCTTTTTGGCTTAAAAAAAAATTTATATAGTATTATACTTTATTAAGAAGTTTTTGAAAACCCTTTCTCCTTAAGGTATGGGAAGGTTTAAAACATCTGTGCCATTTGGACTTTCCTCCCTGGTGTTTGTTAAATAAAAATAAATTAAACTAGGTGATGACGTATTTGTAAAAGTATCTAGCAGATATTTAGAATGACTGGGTAGACTAAATTGAATTCTRGGGAAAAATTTTCTTGAAATCCTGGATCTTAAGGCCTTATTTCCTTAATAGTAGTGCTTTAACAAATCACGGTTTTATTTTTGCATATATTGGACAAGGTTTTGGTTTTTTTATCTTAGTTTTAGAAATGGGCAAACATAACATTTATGAATTATCTATTTAAAGAATAAATAAAATCTCAGCTGTTCTTTTATTTTTTTTTAAATATGGGTCTATGTACTTCAGATTTTTTATTCAAGCTTATTTTACTCAGTAAGTGGATTTTTCCTCTGTAAAGATGTTTTGCATTTTTAGCATTTACTGCTATAATTCGATAGTAATCTTCAAAATTCATTGCTGCCTTCAAGCTACATTTATTATTTAAATTATCAATAAGTGTATACATATATTACATAGAAGATTAGCTGCATACATGGCCTAGTATGAATAACTAAAATGATAGTTTTGTTAAAAGGATAAGAAAAGGTGATGTCTATTACATTTCTGTTTACACATATTCTGTCTTTATCACATCTCTTTGGGTTAAGCAAATAATAGCCTACTTTTTATTTATTTTTCCAGTTTTAGCTGGTCTGACTCCAAAGTATATCTTCTTTCCTACTTTGTTATACTGTAGAGAATTAGGATGTGAAAATGCATATGTGATTATGTGTACTGGCATAAAACTGGTTATTATATATTCTTTTTTTTTCTTCCTTCCCCAGAATCCAGATTATCTTCAGTATTCTATCAATACAGCTCTCTGCAGTTTAAATTCAGTGGTACATAAAGAAGATGATGAACCCAAAATGATGGACACTGTATAATTTGGTTAAGACTGCTGAGGCCAAGTGCTATTTTGTTACAAGAAAGGAAGAACTTGGCTATTTTCTTGACACTTTTATGGGTGCTGCACTTTATTTTTGTTCGGTTTTTGATGGGAGGGAAAAAAAGAGTACTGAAACGTTTTGTAACTTTTTTTATGTGCTGCTAGGTTTTTTGTTTTGTTTTGTTTTGTTTTTGAAAGGAGAAGTGGTACCATATGTTGCAGGAAGTCAAACTGAACTCTTTTTTTTCCCCTGGGTTGGCTACTAAATTTGCCTTTAACCTAATTCTCAATTTTGGAATCAAAGTATGAAAATCTGCACAAATGCAATGTTTACAAGAACTGGCTGATTCTAGGAGGCATCTGCTACATAGTCTCTTTTTATATGGATATGGATATGTCCTATTCTACAAAAATAATTAAAGATAAAAATGTACTTGTATCCCACTGCTAATTTAGCTGTCAAATCTGGTGTTTCATCATATTAAAAGCAATAAATCAGTAGTTGCTAATCTACTTTACTAATAAGCTGGGTGGCACAAATTTTTAAAAGTCGTTCCTTTTAAAATAATATGTATTTTCGGCACCATCAGTTAAATCCTTGACTCTATTACCCCTCAGTGTATTCTCAAAGCTGTTCTTTAGAAGTTGATTTTACTGTTGACTTTTTAAATACTAAAGATTGTAGTGATGAGCTCATATAGGGCTTTGTTTTTTTAAAACAAGACAGACTACAAGCTTACTCTTAATTTCTTTACTTGACATAGTCTGGGATCTCTCAGGGACTAAGTTTTAAAAGAATACTAATGACCTGTAAGAACAAACTGGAAGAATAATAATGATAAATCTTGTAGAGCTAACTTTCTTAAGCTGCCAACTACTCATATCTAAGAATTTGGTAACCCTTAATGCTAATAATGGCTTTTACTCCACTTGTTAGTCCTCTCCAGTTTAGCTACCATAGAATGTTATTCTTACTACTTCTTGCATAATTCACTTCAAATGTACTAGAATATTTGGTGGCTTGTTTTATTTAGATTAGATGACAGTGCTAATCATGCTGTCCTTATTTGAAGATTTATCTTCTCTCAGCTTTGATTGTATTTGAGTGTAGTCTTTGGTACCCATTAAGACCAGTAGCAAACATTTGGAAGCAAACATGGAATTGGGAATACATGTCTCAATTCAAGAAACCAAATAATGCTAAAGGATCCATATGGGGATCAGATGTGTAACCTTGGCCTCATTTGTATCTTGTTTTAACTGAGGTGATTAGGCACTAGTATCCATAGAAACAGGCTGGAATTATTGAATTCTACTTCTGTAATGTCACAATTTTCCTGTTTTTCAGAATAAGTCTTTTTTGTGCTTTTGATATTATTATATACTCTATAATAAAATGTTTGACTAATTTATATGGTAGTATTCATCAGCCTGTAATTTTTTTAACCAATGACCTAGTCATAGAAAGTTTTCTTCTGGAGTGTGCTGTCATCTTTCCCTTTGTCCTAAATGGAGAGAATGGACACAAAAACAATATACTACCCCTGTTTCCCAGAAATGTTATATGAACCATTATTAACCACTTCTTCAACTTCACTTTTCCCCTGAACTTGCCTGTAGTCATCCAAATTGTTTTGACTTTCATTTTGTCTTCTTCCAAGTTAGAGCTGTTAATGGCTCTGGCTGACAGAGCCATTAATAGAAGAATGGCAAGACAGAAAGAATCCACAAATTGAGTAAACTATTTCTGAAAGTTTTTTTTTTTTTTAATAACAGGAATTACCTCAGAACTATTCTGTGAAATGTGACTATTTTTTTAATATTATTCTTTTTTTAATAACTTTATTTTGTTTCTATGTGGTGCTGAGAATTGAACCCAGTGCCTCACGCATGCTAGGCGAGCGTGCTACCACTTACTTGAGCCACATCCCCAGCCCGACTATTTGTATTTTTTTTTAACTATCAAAAGGAAGTGATAACTTTTAAGTATAGAAAAGTGTGATTTATTTGGGGGGGGGATAATTTGCACTTTAAGACTATAACTTTTATATAATTAGTAATTTAGTACTAAGAACAGTAAATTGACATCTTGTTTTTTTTTCATTTCAAAAATGTCCTCTTTAATACTGAGAACTAACTCCTATCGAAATAAATGTACTCTTTTCTGTTTCTTAAGTAATGAAAGATATACTAAACAAAGGAATAATTATATTTGAAGTTGAACAATTTTCCCTAAACAGGCTAAGCCCATGGAAAACCCAAACTGAGGAATGAAACATTTTTGACATTAAAATATTCAACAGAATCCTGTTTTACTTGATAAAATTAATCTTCTAATAAAATATTTTTTAAAAGGATGAAATAGCTATTATTATATTTATTCTGGCAATTATTATGTCAATAGTGATGAAGACAATACTGGTTTTAAATTATTGCTCTAAGATAGATGGCTAGCATTCTTTTCCAGTAATAGCATTAGTGGGCTCTTTCAAATTGTTGCCTAATGGGCTCACAATCTCAAAAAAAAAAAAAAAATTTTTTTTTTTTTTTAGGAAAATCAGGCTCTTTTCTTTCAGAGTAGCATTCATATTATCCTTTAAAAATAAATTAACATGTTATCTATAGATTAGTGGACTTTCTTACAGGATGAAAAAAACTAGTTTTAAGTTTGTCTAGGAAAGGTATTTGGGAAGTAAGTCTTGGTGTATTTTCAGAAAAAAAAAAAAAAAAACCCAAAATGTCAATTTACTATGCTTAAACTCATGTATTTCAGTTCTAAATTCATGTGGGACAGAAGTATTTGTCTGGTTTGAGGTTAGATTTCCCATTTCGGTTTTGCTACTATGTCATACACATTTAAAGACCCTAAAATCCTATGCATCTGTTCCCATCTGTAATGACCATGCGGATACTATTTCAGAGGTCTTCTGAGAAGCTGAGTCATCTAGTAAGTATTTGTTTACTTACTATGTAAGTGAATTGGGGGAGTACACAGAAATAAGTTGTTCATGGATTGCTTAAAATCTAATAATGAAGTTGAAAATATTCTTATAACCCTTGAAGAATTAGATTGAAGTTTTGTCTTTTCTAAATAGAGAAAATGATTTTTAAAATTCCCACATCATTCACTTTTGTTTTTGGTGGTACTAGGGATTGAACCTGGGGCCTGTGCTTGCCTACCAAGTGCTCTGTCACTGAGCTACATAACTAGAACTGCTCCCACAATTTTTTCTCAATTTTTAATTTGCAACAGGGTCTCAGTTGCCCAAACTGGCTTTCAGCTTGTGATCTTCCTGCCTCAGCCCCCCAAGTTATGTGTCATTTTGCCTGGTTCACTTGGTTCTTTGAGCAGTATGATTCTTAGAGGCTGTTCACTCTTCAGTTAACTTGAATCATTTGGGAAAATATGACACAACACTGTACYGATTAACACTTTGGCCTTAACATTTAGTTTTACTCAGTGCTACCTATGGACAAACTCCTGATCATTTGGAAGCTAAAAAGGAGGGAAAGAGGTGAATAGACACTACAGATCATACGGCTTTTACTAGTTTTTAAGCACAGCTAGATTATTTTAACCTTAATTTTTTTTTAAACCATAACTTCCAGGACGAAAATCTTTAATTGCAAGGATAGGAAAGCTATTTCTGCAGTTTATCGGTGAGGATGTTTTCTTTTATCAATGAGAAGACGTAGTTTATAAGTAAGTTTTAAAATTTTTCTTGTTGTTGCTTGTATTACAGCAATTTAATATAATCTGAGGTCTGTAATTGCAATGATTTGATGTTAATATGGGACATTTTATTCCAAACCATGAGTGTCCAAAATATTTTGCTAAGATGCCATTGTATGTGGCTGGAGCAGGCAAAAGTAGCCATAGGCTTGGTTTTAGTAATTTAAACAATAATTAACCTATTTGAGGTGGAACTGAGAGCTAAACTAAAATTTCTGGATGGTGCTAACAATTGCCTTTATGCATTTCCCACTTCATACTGACTTTCCAGAAAGGAGGGTGGTTTGAGGTACTGTTCTCCTCATCTTTTAATCTCAAGTGTAGTATCTCCTCCTAAACCACACATTCAGCTCCAGACATATTTCCATGTGGTACATTAATGGTCATCACAGTATGATTTTTTTTTCCCCTGCAGGAGGCACTTAGCAACAATACCCTTAATCAGCATTGTCTGTGACATTAGCTCATCCAACAGAAAACAAGTTCTTTTTGTTTGTTTTAATTAAAAAAAATACATATTTCCCATAAAGTAATGCATGCATGTGCAAAACTTTGGTTAAGTGTTTAGTAGTGGGGAAGGAATGGTCACAGAAGACAGTCTTAATTTTCATAGTATATTCTTTAATTCTTATTGATTTCCAGATCTAAGGCTGTCATAAAAGCCAGTGTGGCTACCATACTGTATAGCAGGGGATAAAGAATTGTATAAAATCAGCTTTAAAACCTGTTTTAAGACAATTTATTAGAACAAAGGCAATGAGATGGCAGGGTAGCAAAAAGGAAGGTGGGGTGGGGTGACCCTTGTAAAGGACCAAAGACAAAGTAAGTAATAGCTACACTGCTGAAATTTCATTACATTCTAATAAGGACTGTATGCCTGATAACCAAGTGGTAATTCCTAAGTTTAGTAGTTTTGCAACATTTTTAGGAAACACATAATATTAACATGTTTTTAATAAGGCATTGTAAGAGTGATATGATTACTGTAATCCTTTAAAAAAGCCTTGGTCCATTTCAAAAGATCAACAATAAATTTTTAAAAATCAAGAGGAAAGAAAAATAAGTTGTACGCCCCACCCCAAATACATAAGAACCACTTGCTGGCATTTGTTTTGTATTTTAAAGGCCTTGGAATAAGATGGGCCAGATTTTCAAAGGCAATTAATAGCTTGTACAAGGACTTTATTCATTTGATTTTAGCACCAAGGAAAATAAGAGTCAGTATCCCATGGAAGACACAGTGGGTTTTTCCTCTACCGCTCAAATGGCACAACTTCTACCAGGCCAGGATATATAAGCATGCATCCTTGTTGCCCTGCTAGGAGTCTAAAATGATTTTAAGTTTTAAAATGGCTGCTCAGATGACACCAGCAGAGTTCTTTCCCTTTAAGACAGGATGGCAATGAACACTATTAAGTATCAATTTMTTTGATCAAAAACAAAAATCTCCTTTAAGGAATAGTTACTTTCCTGGTCCTTCTTAACCTATCTTGTAAATTCTCTATTGCAATATGTGTTTGCCAGTTATGTTGGTGTTCCTCAAGAGAACATCCTCCAGGTATGCCTGATCTATTTCCTTAATGGTAAAGTATGCCTACTTTACATAGTACCATGGGTTTCCTCTTTTCTTTATTTTTTCTTTTTGCTATAACTTGTTCATCAAGGCATAGTGTATGTTTAGATCAAGAAAAAACTGACAAGTATATCTTAAAACATACATTTCTTAACCTGAGTAACATCTGAAAACCTAAGATTTTATTACATTTTC